TTGCTCTTAGCATAATCTTATGCTTCCAGAGCTGACACAATCCTGCCTGGCAGCCAACATTAACAGTCATTAACATGAGCCTGAGTAGCTTGCATGCATCCAGCACCCTGATTTGACACATCCTCCATTTTTTCTGAACATGGTAATTTACAGGTGTTTAGCCAATTTACAAAGCAGTATCTATCTCTGTGGGCACTGTAATAAAATGCCTCTATTTTTAAGGCTCTCGTTTGTTTGTTTTTTATTCCTGTGAGACATGGTAAAATGACAAAGCTGCTAACATTGACTCAATGATAGAGCTTTTTATTTTAGTTAATTATCAAAGACTGTTTGGCCTGTGGCTAAAGATCCACTGGGGATGAACAATAAATTTATCTGGTGTTGTTTTTTAACTTCTTGCGGAATGTTGTTTTGCTAGAAAAATTATGTCTGTGCGACAAAAAAAATGTAAATATGACCGCTTTATTTAGGAAATGAATACAGTGTTTTAATGTGTATTAGTATAACACACGTTGTCAAACACATTTCCTCCACTGTAGCTTTAACATTAATCAAGCCTTCAGTTTGTTTGTTTTTTTGTTTTCTTTTCTTGCAAGGATCCTGTCACCCTTTCCCATCCATAACCAGAAAAGAAGTTGCTGCTTATTTCCCAACTTGTCAGACTTAAAAGCTCATTCTTTGAATACCAGCTGTGGCCTTTTAGTGTCACTTCTGCTGAGTTTGAGGAATTGCTCCTTCTCAAAAGAACTCCGGTCACAGGTTTAACAGGGTCCAATCTCATTTGAGCACTCATCCAACAATGTGCTTTGCAACACGAGTTTCTCATAGCCCACTTTCAAAGTCCAGGGGTTGTTTACATGCTGACACAGTCTGTGGATGTGAGTTGCCATACAGCAACTTTGCCTGGTGACAATCTTGTCGCTACATCTTGTCGAATTAAGTAATAGCCACATGAGAACAGCGGAGCGAGTCACCCTTGCTCTGAGCTAATTATAGAGAAATATGCAACCCAGTGACGAAAGAGAACTTGTTCCTGCCCTTGATGAAAGGCTGACAAGTGAAACAAAGCTAAAAATGCATCATAATGCACAGGGGTATACAGAATATTTATTTTAAGCAACAAATTATATTATAAACAAAAGTAATACTGAAAATAGTTGACATTTCGATACTGACAGATTTATTTTTCTTTGCACAGAGATACACGTTTGCTGATTGAGCATTATGCTGACCCTGTTATTTTCTGTTTTATATATTGCAATAGCGTGATTGTGTTCTAAAGCTACAGTAAGTTATTTTTTTTCTAAGATGAACCTCCATCTTTGCTACTTTCTCAAGTAATCTAGAAGAACCAGAATTTTCCTGTATTTGGCATCATGCATCTTCCTATAAACTCTGACCATCTTTTTTATCCCTACAGATCTTACAGCTTAATACTCAAATGGCTAAACTGTTGAATCATGCTTGAGATTTTCTGTTTATAGTAATGTGCAGAAAACATAACTTGATAGGATGATTTAGGCGTTTCTTTGGACAATTGTTTTCCTCTTGTGAAAATCCCATAAAGTGTTGCTATACCTAAATAAAATTACTGTTTCCACTTATACTCTGTCCATTATTAGGTGATGGATTGTACCATCTCAATAAGAGATTCAATCCTAGAGGCATAATAATCTAGCTTCATTTTTAAGTGTAACTATTCTGAGTTTGAATTACAGACAGGTTGGATTTTTTTCTGTTTACTATGTGACTTTTTAAGGCAATTGCTTGCATCCCTCTTATTTAAGGGAAGCTAAATAAATCCTAAATATTTTCAGCTTTTAATTAAAAAAAAAAAAAAGATATGAAAGACCATGAATGAATTTCTGTTGCAGTAAAATACATTAAAGCTTTTTATGAAACCTAAAAAAGAAAATAAAAATATGCATGAAGTATAAATGCATTTACAAAGTGCCGTAACACATTTTAGTATTCATCTTTATTCTGTTTTCATCATAAAAGTCAGGCTGTAAAATGTACCAGTATTCGTTGAGTGTTTCACAGATTCTTACAAATCAATCTCAGAGTATGTTGTAAATAGCGCCTATGTCAGGTCTTATGTGTAAAAAGCAAAACCAGTGAAGTGGGAAATTATTTAAGATTGCTCTGTATTGATCACAGCTTCCTTCCACAGCTCCCAGGGTTTATTTCTGACTTGTATATTAGAAGCTGTAATATAAGAAGCTGAACCCTAGAGAAAAATAAAATGCCAAGTGCACAATGTCTCATTCGTGTCATTTCAGCAACCTTTATTTGACATGTTACACCGGTCACACTAACACACTGTACACCACCCTCACCCCCACCACAGCTTCAGTCCTATGTTTGTCATATGCAAATTGGAGAAGGAATCTAGAGCAAACTATACGCCTGTCAATAAATCTTAAAATTAAGAAACCATTAAGAAAAGAGGAACAAATAAAGGCTTTTAGAACTTTTTTTTGTTTTTGTATTTCATTGTTTGACATTAATGGGACCTGATGTGGTGTGCCTGCAGCTTTGCCAACATAATGGCCCGGTGTTGCCAACTCTTTTCTGTGGGTATCTAGTGTGTGGTTGCTGTAATTGCCTGTGTCTTTAAAAATAAGCCAGCTTAATATTCCTTGTTCAGAAAACTTGCCAACGAATATTAAAAGATTGATTCATCATTTTTTGGTCCAAAGAAACAGCTATTTCATCAACAGAGACATTAACGCGGATGTTCAGTATTTTGTGTCTCAAAGCCTTGGCTGCCTATCTGTTACATGTAGTGTTACGCAGAAGCCAGAGAAGTCAACAACACTGTTTTCTCTGGAGGAGAGGATGAATAAGAAGGCAGGGAAGAAGTGACAAAAAAGAGGAATATCTCCAATAGTGAAACGCTATTAAAATCTTGTTAAGTTTATTCTTTAAAAGGTGAAAATATCTAGTTGTAACATTTTGCAGTTCATATTATTGATAGCTTCCATTGTAGTGATGATTGTTTAGTTTAATAAATGTTCTTTTTTTTTTTACACTCATTCTCTAGCCTCCATTCCACCACTAGTGTCAGATTCCATGGGGGAAGACATCTTAAACCTTGATCTACCACCTCATGCAGATTAACTGCGTTCAGCATTGATGTCTCGGCTTATTCCAAATGAATTACAGTTTTCACGTCAATCAAACTTTCTAATTGAGGCTTTCCTCTGTGTGAGTCACTCCAGATTGAAATTATTCCATATACTTTAAAAAAAACTTTAAAATTTATGCATTGGATTTTTTTCTCTCAGATGTAGAGACAGATTCTGGTGCATTTGCAGGAATGCCTATTCATGTACACTGTCCCTGTCAAATAAATAAATAAATCTAAATCAAACAACAAAAAAGGTAATGCAAAATGGTGATTAGCAGTATACAACTGCTGCTCTCACTACATAATGAATACATAGTGGCAATATTGGATTCAAAGGTAATTTCTCCCTCCTGGAGTTCTTTGTTTTTAAACCCAAGAAGTTTTTTTTTTTTTTAAAGAAGTTTTTGAGGCAAATTGAATGGAGACATTCAATCCACTGATGTGTGATTTGAAAAAAAATATGTTTCTGTACTTGTTACTTGGAAAAACATTTAGCACAACCATAATGCGGGAAAAATAATAGGAGAAAACTCAACATAATCTTCATATAGCTCTTAGCTGAGTGCATGCTCCTTTTCTCTTTGAATGCAGAGGCTGTCAGCAGACTCCCCTTAATGTGGCTTATGTAACTTGTATTGGGTTATCTTTCTTGGAACTGATCAGCAAACTATCCACATGGTGTGCAGTGTGATTTGTGTAAAAGGCCAACAAATTATCACTGGTTTGTGGAGTTGATGACCTGAGCTTGTACTTTCTCCACCTTTCCTTAAAGTCAAACCGCTTTGTCATCCAGTGGGAAATGACACACCGGCACATAGCCCTGACAAGGCTCTGCTGACTCTGCTCACAGACAGGCCATCATGTGCTGCAAAGGAGAACAGTGGGCAATTTCTGCTCTTCTACTTACTCAGGAAAGCATTTATAGAGATTGCTTTCACTTGATATACCATTCTTCTTTTCAAAAACAAACTTTCAAACCACTTTACTGGGACTGAAATCTAAGGCTACATAGACCAAGATGGCTGCCATCAAATCTATTTTGATGAAGCTTCTGTTCTTTTAGTTTTTTATAGGTTGTGTTGAAAAATTGCAGCTCAGCTTTCCCTTTTATTAAAATGTGACATATATACCAGAAACAGATTGGTTAGAAGAGTTTTGAATGTATTGTATATGACATAACACTGCTATTATCGGCCAAATATTCTGACTCTGAAATATTTGGAAAATTAAAATTCTCGAACAGTAAATTTTGAATGTGTTGCTAATTTTTATCTCTCTTGCCACCCCTGTCATGATATTTATGGTACAAAAACTTGTCTTCATTCAATCCATATTATTCATAAATCTAAAACGTTCTCATTATTTCCTTTGCTGCAGGTTTATAGCTATTCCTTTGTTCTAATTTTCTAAAATATAAAGATCACATGTCCACATGGCACGTGACATGTTCCCTAGTCCTTTCTCTTTTTGTTTTTATTTTATTTTATTTTTTACTTTTTTTTTTTATGAGTGCCTGTTTGTGTCACCCTATAATTATATCGAAAAAACTTGCTTTCTTAGATTCTGGTCAACATAACATTAAAGGGGCTTCTGTACTATTTACAAAACAAAAATGCTAAATGTGCCCCTTTTTTTCTGCATTAATGTACTAGAATTAAAAATTGTCATTTTTTTTCTATTTTATTGTGAAGTTATAGCATTGCAGTGAGACTAAACCCAATTAAAAGGTGCTGTAAGTTTGTGATCATAATGACTTAACCATCTATTTCATTTAGAAAAAGAACTGCAACTTTTCATGTTTTAATTACACTTGTTCAAAAGAAATGTATTGAATATGACTATTCAAATCTTCACTTTTTCTTTCTAGATAGCAGAGTTTATATTCCATCTTTTGATGGGACATCATACCTGAAGCTGAAGCCTCTTGCATCCTTCTCACAACCTTTGAATGACAGCAGTAATTCAACAACTCCAGCCGAAGGCATCTCTTTCTATTTGATGGTTAAAACAAAATCAACACAGGGCACCATCCTCTTCAGTGAGTACAGTTTCCATTAAAGAATAAATTACTATTTTTTCTGATTCTTTTCTTCTATTATAACTACTATTATAACTTTTTCTTTTTATATTTTTTATTACTTAACTTTATTTATTCTATTTTGCTCTATTCACCTTTTTTTTTTTTTTTACAATTTCTTTATTTGCCTGAAAATTGCCTCTGTGCTAAACACGCTGTTAGCCACCAGTTAGATAGAATCTATTATGATACAAAGGTTTAGAAAAGTTTGTTAATAGTCTGTTTCTGTAAAACATGACTAATTTTCTCTTTATCACATTTCTTTTAAGTGTACAGCTAAAGAAGGTGATTTGATTGCTTTTTATTTATTGCAATTTAGTTTAATATTCAGAGCAGTACCAGGCAAGAGTATATGCTTGGAAAGTAAAATTCTTGGTATCTGTGTTGTTGAAGCCCATTTTAGAGCAATGTTCAGTGGTTGTTCTCTTTTTTTTAAGCAAAAGTAAAAATGTGTTTATTAAGGTTTTTTAAAGTTCTCAAAATGTTCTTCTCTAACAGAAAATGATTACAGCAGTTGCTGTAATGAAGGGAAAACACAGTTAATGCAGTTCAATTTTATGTAAATTCATTATTACTCTAAAAGGCTAAAGAATGTATCACAGGAGATCAATTATCTATAGAACAAGGAAAGGTATAAAATTGAATACATTTTGATCTCCTGTTACTGTCAGTATAAGAATTGCCATTTATTTATAATTTTTTATATTATACATTAAAGAAGTGGTATGAAGAATCTTAAGGAAATATCAACTCATTCATTAAAAAACCATGAGTTGTTTATATTTTGTTGGTAATTTTTAAAGGCAAATACAGATATTTTGTGTAAATGTTAAGTTTTATTTTGGTTTTAAAACAATTAGACCATAAAAGTAAGAAATAAAGCTTAACTTAAAAAGAAACATTAGGTTTGAGAGGAAATATTTGTCCTCATCAGAAGGATAACTATTCCAACTCATCTTCTGCGGACACCACGGCAGCTTTTTTTTTGTGTTTCACAGCAGATGATTGAGCTGTAACCTAAAAGCAAACAAAAGAGTTCTCAAGAGCTGGTCACTCACATTCAGAGATAACATTGCTTTCACCCTTTACATCAACCTTGAGCTCTACATTGTATCTCTGTCTCTTACCAGCTCCTTTGTTGCTACACCTGCACAGACACATACACAAACCCCTTTGTTACAGAGGAAGATTGGGATGGGGATACCAGACAGCCCCTGAGTGGACTCTCCTAACAATAAAGCATTGTTTAGGGCAGAGAGAGAAGTCGCTTAGATCTTATTCATCATTCCTTTCTTTATAATTTTTCTAGGAGTTTTACAAAAGCTGAACCATGAGGATGAGGCTTAATCTTACCATATTAATCTCCATTACAAATCTGTCAAAGCATTTGCATGTACTAAGTTTCCAAACAGCTTCGAGGTGAGGTCACAGCATGCATGCCTTGAGTTATAGGTCCTCTAATGACTGCGAAAAACATCCAAGCGTGTGTCTCTGCGGACCACAGTTGCTGCTCCTCGCTCTAAAAACTGCAGCCACCTTGATTTTTCTGCTCCCATGTTGCACAAGTCAGGTGCAAGTCCAACTAAAGTTTAACCACCGTGCATTGTGTGGCGATCATGGGTGATTTATTTCACACAGGCTGAGTACAGACATCATAACATTCATCTTGCCGGTATGGCCTAGATCAACCTCTTATCTGTGACATCCTCTGTAGGTTCACAGTCTCTGATCTACATTTCCAGGTCTGTAAAATGTTACAGTGCACCTCGGGGTTAAATGTCTCTCCTGTGATCAAAGCAGAAAATTTCTAATCTCAGGGACTATGTAACAGCAAGATGAGGGCTGGCTAAAATGCTCCCTTGAACCCAAACATTATGTTTCCTACTGTGTGAATAAATCTAAACAAGTACATTTTTGCTTAGGGTGAATTTTCAGCTTTTAAAGTTTATTAGAATAAACCTTAAAACTGGACTGAAAATATATATGTATTTTAAGTAGTAGTTCTTCTAATGCTTTTATGAGATACTGAGATTTTTTTAAATAATAATATCAATGTTTTTTCTTTGGATAAACTTTGGTCTCCCTTTAGGTTTGCTAAGTTCCTCCGTTTTAAACTAAAGGTCAATTTTCTATTCTTAAAGAACCATTAATAAATTAGCTAGGAAATTCTAAAAATGCTAATATATATCTTTTATATGAATTGGTTTATTTAAAAATGGGTCAAATGCCTTATTGAAAATATAGCAAATGTCTGACTCAAGGCCTATTTAGAGCTACTACAAATACATTTTGTGTAACTGAAAATCTGGATCAATAATTTATTATTTAGTTATATTGTGCCTATTGCAATGTTGTTTTTTTAGGGTTTGGTCTTGTGTGGTGTAGAGAAGAGAACATGAAGAAAGGGACATAAATACACATGTTTTCTGTTCACTATAGATATATTACATGGCCTCATAAAAAGCAAGGCAACATTTCTTATTAATCATAAAGCTAATCTGTGATTGTATTTAATGTAAATATTGATGTATTGACTGTAATTTTAGCACACCAATTAATCTACAAATGGATGGCACTTACTGTATAAATAAGTTTGTAAATTTACCTATCAATATGTTTGTTCTCAAAATAGTATGTTAAGCTATACAAAAGTGTTTGATACATTATTATAATACTTGTTTTGCAGACTCTAAGAAAGGATTTCAGAATAGAGCAGCAGACTAATTGTAAAGACGCTTCACTATAGTAACTACTTGTTTTATGTGTTTTTAGAAACAGAAAAATGCACTTGTAGTGAAATGAAATTTTATATTATATTACTTTCCATTTTACCAATTTGGAAAGTATTGACATTTTCTTGCAAAAGTACATATACCCCTTGAACTTGTTTACATTTTACTTTAAAACCATTACTTGAATTGTGTTAATAAAATTGCACATCCAGAGACTCAATTTGTGCCCATTCTTCTTTTTCAAATAAAGTATTTAGTCAAATGTAATACAGTATCTGTAAAAGAAAGTTTATCTAAATTCCATCTACATCTATATTTGGACTCTATTTTAACTATCAAATTGGGGTTGAATACCCTATAACAGTGTGCACCACCCTTATTTTTTAGTATTTCATTATATCTCTTTATGGGACGTCACTAAAGATTTGACACTTTGATACAATATAAAGTAGTCAGTGTGATGATTGCAACCCCTTTGGATTTACTCTCCCCTCAAAATAATTCAGCAGTAAGCCATTAGTGTCTAAACTGCCAGCAACAAAAGTGAGTAACGCCCCAATTATCTTCTAAAAGTGATGCACAAGAAACCCTGCAAACAGTTTGCTAAATTCAGGCAGACCAAGGACATGGATTGTCTGGTCTAATAAGACCTTGATGCATTTATTTGATTCAGATGGTGTCAATCGTGTTTCACAGTAATCGGCAGAGGAGTACAAAGATACGTGTACTGTACCTGCAGTCAAGCATGGGGGTAGGAGTGTCATTGTTTGGGGTGGCATTGATGCTGCTAACTTTCAGAGCTCATTGAGGGAACCATAAATGAAAAGCTGTACTGTGACATACTGTCCTGAAACAGAAAATAATCCCCTTCCTTCAGAAACTAGAAATGTAAAGCAGTATTGTAACATTATAAAAACCCCAAACACCACTTTGTTAAATATACCTGACTTGCCAAGGATGTCACCGACCTAAACCACATTGAGTGTCTGCTTGGTATCTTCAACTGGAAGGTGGAAGAGCCCAAAAGGATGAGACATTTACCAGCTCTGTGATCTCATGGACAAATGGAAGAGGATTCCATAGAAAAACCTGTAAAGCTGTAGTGAACTCCACATCCAAGAGAGTTAAATAATTGAAATATAAGTTCCTTGGGAAGGTGTATACTCACTTTTATTGCCAACAGTGTAGACATTTAATCTTGTGTTGACTTATTTTTAGGGGACACATTTTAGCCGTAGTGCGAGGGTGAGGTATTTTGCTTAAGGATTGGCAAGCTGAACAAGAAAACAGCATCAGCCATTGGTTTCAGATTCCTCTGATGTTTTTTTATTTAGCCTTTTTCACTTTGACAAACATTTCCTTGAGCTTCCCAGAACTACAGTTTGTATCCCCAATTGGCAACACACCTGCACTTTAGTGGACCAAGCCACGATTAAACACAGAAAAAATAAACAAAGGCATTATAAATAAAAAATAAGTATAAGGGACAAGTGGTGAACACAAACTGAACCACTTTATCACAACGAGCTGCGAAATGACTATTTGAACTTTCTAGTGTTATATTGCATTACATTTTCAGCGTTGTTACATTGAAATACTCAATGAAATATTAACATGGCGGGTACTTACTGTACTTTGCCAACCAAGATGGATGTGTATTTCATTATGCATGTTGGAAATAAGGTAGATAGAGAAAAAAAAATTATTCTAATAAAAGTAGTTACTTTGGTGAAAATAAAGTTACTCGTGTAAAATGTTACTCAAATAAAAGTGAAAAAGTACCTTATTAAAAAGTAATGGAAATCCCTTTATTGTCCCACAATGGGGAAATTCCCTTGGGCAGTAGTGGGCTGCTATAGTGCGGCTACCGGGGAGCAGTGTGGCCCTGCTCAGGAACCCAGAGTCTGGGTTCCTGTGGGGATTGAAGCGGGTGCTTGCAACCTTATTAGAGCACAAGCGCAGTGCTCTAACCACTAGGCCAACACTCCCCTTATTTATGTTTATTTCAGTAAAAATTAGTTTTATTTAGTTACTTTTATCTTATCCAAAATACTATATTGTATCGAACGAAAAGTACTCATCAGGTTTGTTTTTGTTTTTTTTTAACAAGTTGTTGATGTTCATTGCTGTAGGTGGGAAGGATATCCTTTAGCAATACATATATCAAATAGTTTTTGGTTTCCCAACTAGTGAGCTAAACCTTTAGCTTGAATCGAGTTACTTTGCAAA